TATTATTATTATGATGATGATGATGATGATGATGATGATGATGATCCTATGTTCTTCAATTTCACTTTGGTAAAAAACTTGTTGCAAATGTTCCTTACAACTAATGTTGAGTAGTGGATACTCTTTCCGTAATCATCATAATTATCATCATCTTTACCACCACCAACAATACCATCATTATATCCACTATCACGACCACCAACGTAATTATCATCAAGCATTCCTGATTTCCAACACCTCATTACATGTAATTGGTGACCCGCTTCACGAGCGGATCACATCTTACTATTGTCAGGTTCAACTTCATCATCTCTTGTTATTGTCAGGATCATCTTTTTGGTGATCCGCTTCACGTGCGCAGTTATGCGTGACGTCATCTACGCGCAATTTTGCGTTTTTACATTATCGATCATATCAGCCTAAAATCGTATTAATTGAGCATTACCTTCGGGTTAATGTTGAATGTACTGTACCTTAATTTTACTCGTGCGCTTCATTACGCGCGAGTACGCGTGCGTCAATTTTTTAAATGCTCAAAATTACTTTTTGGCTACGTTCAGACCTGTGGGATACGCCAGGCGTATCTAACGCCAGGCGTAGGTTAATCCATGGCGTAACTAGCGAGATGTCCAGACTGGGCGATTAATGAACGCTAGCGTAAGTATTTGCGCGAAATATTCGTATTCGTAATTCAAGCATTTTATTTTCTGTTTACATCTAGGTTTATTTTGATTGGTCAAATCTTGGCTGAGTTCAAAATCACCGATGCGTGACTGTCGTAAATCAGTGGCGTACGCTAATCTGGGGTCTGTTGCTGGATGACCGTACGCTAGTGATTGCGCGATAATACTGGCGTTCGCTACGCCGCGCACAAGTTCACACCACTCGATTAACGTTACGCTAGCGTAATTCGTTGTGTCTGAACATAGCCTTTGACTAAATTAGAGCACGTTTCAGGCCATTTTGAGCATTTCGAAATTGTTTAGAATTTTCCACTACGCTTGCGCATTTTTACGCGCGCAGCACGTACGGAAGCTAGACATGTTTTTTCACATAGTTTGGGTTCCTGACATTGTTTTCACAAATTTCCATTCTTTTTAGTCATCTTAAGGCCAATAGCAATGCCGTACGTGCACATCAAACATAAGCATCTTTGCGCGGATTTGTGCCGATATAGAGTGAAAATATGCTAAAATCAGGCCTATATTTAATCAGTTATAGCTCCTTAGGTAGAAAGGTGACCCCGAATTTTTATTACATATTCTGAAAGCACATAAGTTGTAAATATGATTTTATATATCATAATAGCTGATCGGACATTGTGACGTCACCATATTGCCATCCTGAGTAAAAACTAGATTTGAACTCGTCACTGTGGAGTTAGGTGATCCGCCACACTTTGACCCTCAGGAAGTGCGCACTGTGTTGATTTAAAAATTTTTAAATGCTGAAAATTGGCTAAAGTATATGCTAATCAAAAACACGCACAAGGATCCGTATGTTATATGCGCGCGTAGAACATTGCCATTGGCCCTAAGATTACCAAAAATAGAATGGAAATATGTGAATACAGTGTCAGGAACAAAAAACATGTAAAAAAAAAACGAAATATCCAGCTTCCGTACGAAACTGCGTGCGTAAAAATGCGTGCGCCGCTGAAAATTAAAAAAATTTTGAAATACTCAGAATGGCCTGAAACGTGCTCTCCTTTAGTCAAAAGGTGATTTCGAGCATTTTAAAATTTTGACGCACGCGTACGAGCGCGTTATGAAGCGCACACGTAAAATTAGGTTACATTACATTTAACATTAACCTGAAGTTAATGCTCACTTAATACGATTTCGAAATGGTAATCTGTTAGTGTGATATAATCGATAATGTCAAAACGCAAAATTGCGCGTAGATGACATCACGTATGACTGAGCACATTGAAAACCTTATTGTGACTATTCCAGGCCAAGCCAAATGTTCGTTGAAGCGCGCATGTGCTTTGCTCGCGGCAAATTTGAGATATCGTGCGCACAAAAATGGAAGGAAAGGTAGAACTAGATTTGAACTCGTCACTGAAGACGAGTTAGGTGATCCGCCGCACTTTGACCCACGAGGAAGTGTGCGCGGTGCGGATTGAACAATTTAAATGCTGAAAATGGCAAAATATGCTAATTTAGTTTGTTAAAAAAAGAATATGGAGCTTTTTAAAATATTTATTCATGCGTACACGTCACATCATGACGCACGTGCGCATCTTAATGTCACTGTTGTCTCCTGATATTAGATATATGTGTATCAACTTTCATTGACAAACGCCTGTTGGTAAAGGAGTAATTATCATTCATAGTATTTATCATATATAAAAATTCAGTTTTTTAAATTCAGATGGCAATATGGTGACGTCACAATGTCCAATCAGCTATTATGATATATAAAATCATATCTACAACTTATGTGCTTTTAGAATATGTAATAAAAATTGGGGGTCACTTTCCATCCTAAGGAGCTATAACTGATTGAAAAAAGGCATGATATTAAGCACATTTTTGACGCATGCGTACGCGCACAGGAAATTAAGGTACGTAACTATTAAGCATGACCTGAAGTTTAAGCCCACTAAATATCATTCAGAAATCTCAACTGGTTAAGGTGATTATGGGGTCATTAAATGTTTGAGGAAAGAAAGATGAGGGGGTCACCAAAAACATTTGACCATGATGACGTCATCAAAATGTAAAAAGAAGTCACACAATGAAAGAGAATTGCCTCAGCTATAACATACTCAAAGACGATCGACCAAGGATAAGCGAAATACGCTCAAATGCGCATTTTTAAAAATGACGTCATCGATAAAACTCAGTTTGTTGAATTCAGATGGCAATATGATGACGTCATAATGTCCGATCGGCCATTATGAGCTAGAAAATCATGTGCTTTCAGAATATGTAATAAAAATTGGAGGTCAAGTGTGCGCGGTGCGGATTGAACAATATTTAAATATTTATATTTACTCATGCGTACGCACACGTCATGACGCACGTGTGCATCTTAATGTCACTGTTGTCTCCCTCCTGATATGAGATATATATGTATCAACTTTCATTGACAAACGC